TGAATCTATTTAACTCTTTTTTTATATTTTTAAAAGATGCTGTTAAATTTTAAGACTGCAGAATTAAAACACTCATTTCTTAAAGAGAAAAATCTGTTCATCCCAGCATTGATGATTAAAACTCCTTTCCACATTAATAAACTTCCTAATAGAAAAAGCAATATCGGAATCCACCGCTGGGCTTGACAGAGTTTTGACCATGATAGTGGAAACCAAGAGAGGATTAAATAAAAATCAAATAGAATTTCTCTTCCTTAACGCCGTGGATTTCTCTCAATCCCTCCCTCTCTCTCTCTCACACGCACACAATGTAAGAATGCCCATACTTATTAGGGTACAATTTTCCTTAGACTTGCCAAATATCATCTGTCTGACATTCTTTTCTACTTTATAGACCATGATTTACATGACACATTTATCTTCGGTTTTATACGTACAGTCACATATGCATAACACACATCCTATAGCATAGGGCTCGGGGCTTGCTGACACTATTTTATATTTCATTCTCATAATAACGCTATGATGCCACAGATGTTACTATCGCCACTTTATAAATGTGGAAATTGAGGCCCATAAAGGCTAAGTTACTTGCCCCCAGGTGACACAGCTGGTGATTGCCGCCCCAGCTAGACTGTAAATTAGGGACCAGCTAGATTTGGAGGCTCACGCCGATCATCCCAGCACTTTGGGAGGTCAGAATGGGGAAGGAGGGTTGCTTGAGGCCGGGAGTTTGAGATCAACCTGGGCACATAGTGATACCTCATTTCTACAAAAAATAAGAAAAACTAGCCAAGTGTAGTGGCAATCCTCTTAGCCACTAAGGAGTTTGAGGCAGATGGATCACCTGAGCCCAGGAATTTGAGGCTGTAGGGATTGTGCCACTTCACTCCAGCCTGGTGACAGAGCGAGATCTTGTATTAAAAGAAATAATAATTACAGGTGCCTGTAGCACAGTGGTTATGGCTCCAGTCACATACACCAAGGGTGGAAGGGTTCGAACCCAGCCCGGGGCAGCTAAACAACAATGACAACTGCAACAAAAACAAAAATAGCTGGGTGTTGTGGCAGGTGCCTTTAGTCCCAGCTACTTGGGAGGCCGAGGCAAAGGAATCACTTAAGCTCAAGAGTTTGAGGTTTCTGTGAGCTGTGACACCATGGTACTCAACCCAGAGCCACATAGTGAGACTCTGTCTCAAAAAGAAAAAAGAAATAATAATTATAGTAATGAGAGACCAAGTAGAGAGAGAGGTCCCCCACCAAGGCCCCAGATTTGTGAGTGGAGCCATCTTAGATCCTCAACCACAGGATCCAGGCTTGATCCTCAAGCCACCTGTTGATGGCACAAGTGAACCCAGGCAGAAAATCATCTACTCACCCCACAGAACCATAAGAATGTTAAACTGCTACTGTTTAAAGCCACTTAGTTTGGAGGTTGTTTGTTACACAGAGATAACTATGCAGCCTCTGGGATTTCCTCGGATTTCCTCGGGTTTTCTGTTTCCTCTTCCCTGAGATAATCCACCTTCTCTTCCCTCACCCACCACCCACATGACAGCCACATTCAATGTGGCCTAAGTGGGGCTTTCTCTGGCCTTCTTTCTGCTTCTCTAATTCAATAAGCAAAATCATCCACTTCGGCAGTTTTAACAATCACCTACACAGCTGCAACTGCTTAATCATTATCTCTTGTCCTGATTGAGCTTCTGAATTCCAGATCCACATGTCCACACACCTACAGGACATCTCCACTAATGTCCCACAAATGTCTCAAACTCATCCCAAAGCCGCACTCATTATCTTCTTCAAAAACCTTTTCTTCCTTACGTAGTCTCTATAATAATAAATGCGTCATCACAAATCCTTCGACTGGGGCCAAAAATCAGGAACCCAGCCTGACTCCGCTTTCTGCCCTATTCAGGAGTGCATAGACTAACTCATCTCTCCAGTATTCGCCCTGCCCTTCTTCCAAAATCCAGCCTTCAGGACTAACACTGCACCTCCCAACTGTCTGTACTGCAAAGTGTGGCTGTGTGACAGAATTCCAGCGGATGAAATGTAAGTAGAAGCACTGGAGGTTGGTTTCCTGGAGCTTGACTGTGCATTTGGCCCCTTCTTTATCCCTCCCTCTATTCTGCTAACTGGACCGCGGATGCTGCCACCTTGGGGAACTTGTCCAGTGGAGCCACAGACAGGGCCACAGGTTCCGGACACTTTGGGGTGCCATGCCAGCACACCTGCCCAGATGTTTACATAAACAAATATCTTTCTTTCTTATTTAATCTCCAACCATTTGTGTTTTCCATCTTGTGCAGAAAACTCTCATGATGCCAAGCTCTCTCTCACCTGTCTTTCTAAGCACTCAGTAAATAACGTTCCTCTCTAAGAAGAGTTAAAATAGTAAAATCAACATAAGATAGACAAGCATTTCTCTCTGCAAGTGATTCTCTCAAGACAGGACATCAAAAACAGAGTGAAAAATACCAGGAAATTTACATAGGGCTTAACCAAACCTAACAATCTATTTCTCATTATAAATTAATTTGTGTAGCTTTGTATTCTATGTATCAACCTCTTGAGGATTTGACTTGTGTCAGCACCCCAGGGCCTGATTATATCTTGGCACACTGACAAATTCAAGTGCCTTAGACCTGGAAAGGTAAAGATGAATATGCAGTGTCACTTGGTGTGGCCCGTCTGGCTGATCAGCCATTCTCTCCGTGTGACATTTCATTTTGTCTTTTACTTTCAACATCATGATTAACTTTCACTATGAGGCAGATTGTAGTTTCTAAACGTGGCTACAACAATCTCTCCCTTTCCAGATGGTATTCTTAGAATGTGACTTGGACGGTCCTTCCATCAAGACGTGGGGTTTGTGTTTCTTCCAGCTGAATGTGATCAGACTTGTGATCACAGGCAGAAGTGACATTAAATGACTTACAAGGCTGAGTCACACAAGGCAACACAGGCTCTTCCTGGTTCTCTTGGGACACTCACTACCGGAAGCCAGCCACCATGGAGGGAGGAAGCCCAAGCAGCCCAGGAGAAGGAACCAGGGTCCCAAGCCCAAGGCACCAACTTGCCACCCGTGAATCATCTGCTAATCATCTACTAAATACCCCCTCCAGGCTTTAGTTAACCCTGCATGGAGCAGAGATGAGTTATCCCCATCAAGTCACGCCCAAATCACAGATTTGTGAGTAAATAAATGATTGCTGTAACTTTAAGCCAGCGTGTTTTATGGTGATTTTCTATGCAGCACTAGATCAGGTGTCCTCAAACTATAGCCTGTGGGCTACATGCAGCCCGCCTAGGACGTTTATCCAGCCCACCAGGTGTTTTTGCTGCCACTGCCTGTCCTGCTCAGCAGCCGACTCGTCCCGGGGCCCGCAGTCTGGCCCTCCAACAGTCTGAGGGACAGTGAACTGGCCCCCTGTTTAAAAACTTTGAAGACCCCTGCACTAGATAATCAGAACACATATTAAATTGGTGGGTAGGGTTGGTGCTTTTTTTAGTATAAAAGAAAAAGAAGCATTTTACTCAATAAATCAGAACTCTTAATGTGATTAGGTTACCTTCACATTGCCATGTTCAGTGAGCTGCAGGTAATCTCTGGAACCAGGTGCTGAAGTGATGTATCCGAGAAATATTACTTGATGAGAACTACTTTTCAGTAGTTTTGAAACAGCAATCGCCTGCAATTTCCTGTCGAGGTCATCTCTTAAAAAAATACAAAAATATACATCTTTATTGTATTTGCAAAATAATCTTTAAAAGTATTGGGGGCTGTAATCCCAGCTAACTTGGGAGGCTGAGGTGGGAGGATCACTTGAGCCCAGAAGTTCAAGGCTGCAGTGAGCTATGATTGCAGCCCTTTAGCGTAGGGAACAGAGCAAAACCTTATCTCTTGAAAAAAAAAGGCTTAGGTACCTAAATTCCAAAAGAATGTCTTCAAATGGTGTACAAACCTAGAGTAATTCCTACTGAGCCAAAGTCTTGATGTTACACAAAGGAACAAGACACAGGCATGGAGCTTTCACTGGGAGGCTGACAAACTTTTGACGAAGAATAGGACCTTTCTCCACAAACCATTTGGAATCAAGTTGATTTAAACATCTAAATATAGCATTTGTTCAACTTTTTATCAGAATAAATTACACCTATAACATAAGACCTCACTGGCATCATTAGTAGTGTTACAGCTAAAGAACTATACTTGTCAAAAAAAGAAAAAACAAGAAAAGTGGTAAGAAGAATCCTAACACTCAGAACACAGCAGTCATCAGACTTATGCGACCTACTCAGCCCTTCAGCTAAACACACGCTAGAAGCTTCCTCAACTCTCCTGCTCACATACAGGCTGAACATGGGGCTTTTATCCTGCTGAGCACTGCAGACTTATAACTGAGATAATTAAGCACATACATCAACCTTTTGGTGAGAGGGGTTACAGTTAGTCAGTTTGGGGGAAAAATGGGACATCATATTTTACACGATCCAGCCAGGAAAACTGAAACCCTCAAGGTGTTTCAAACAAAGTGAATTTAATGCAGGGGATTGGAAGATTTCCTAGGTGACGGAAGCCAAGCAAGGCTCAATGAGGCAACCACTGGGAGACCAGCAACAAGAAACCAGCACCACGTCTAGGGCTACAAGGACAGCCAAGGAGGCAATACTGCCAGACCTGACGAGGAGGATGGAGCTACAGAGGACGCTGCCTAGGAGGAGCTGCGACTATCCGGGCTGGAGCTGCAGCCACAGACTCAGCTGCTGCCAGAGACTCCAGAGAGAGGGTGAGAGTGGCCTCTCTGCTCCCCTGCCTCCAGCCTGGCCAGTGATCCCCATTGTCTAAACCTACCCAGAAGCCGAGAGGCAAAGGACTTTGGGAAATGTGGTTCCCTGCAACACAGAGCCGAGAATAAGGGTGAGGGATGATCCCAGGGCAGATGGGCAGGAGAGAACACAGGTGTTTCCACAGAAAGATAGCTGATAAATAAGTGGTAAAAAAAAAAAAAATAAGAATAAAAAGGTGAAGGAAGATGGATGGAAATCACCCAGGACTGAGGGATGAGAGACCTCACTGAGCAGAGCTGAAGTCAGGACAGAGTTGGATAAATCTGTGTAGACAGCTGAGTGCTGTTAAAAGATGTCTCAAGAATTAGAAGAGTGGGTCAGTGCCTGTGGTTCAAAGGAGTAAGGTGCCAGTCCCATATGCTGGAGGTGGCAGGTTCAAACCCAGCCCTGGCCAAAAACTGCAAAAAAAAAAAAAAAAAAGAAACAGAAAAGTGAAAAGAGCGACCATTTGTTAAACTCTTTGGAAATCCTAGCAGTAACTGAAGGCAGGCCACAGCTCTGTTTTTAAATGAGGTCGTCTCCACCTCCCCTACCCAGATGCATTTTCTGGCCTTCTGTATGGTCCAGAAGGCTGACCCCTGCAGATCGTCTCCTGGACTCATCTTCTGGTTTCCAGCTAAGTGTGGCCAGGTGGAGGCACCAGCAGGAGAGGAAAGCTGGGAGGAGAGTAAAGTTGGGGCATTTTTTCTCTCTCCATCAGCAGCTGCCTTCCTCATGCCGAGAGGCCCCTTTTCCCGGGTGCAGTTGTCACTGGGCTCTTTCTCTGCCTGTTCCTTCAGCCCTAAGACTAGTAACGGTCCCCTGTTACCAGTGTCTGAGTGCCTGGGCCTCTCTTAGCTGTTCCTCGGACTAGTCCAGTGTCTTGGTAAGTTCTCCTCTTACCAGGTCTGCAGTAAATTCTGTTCCCTCGGATACCCGCAGCCAGGATTCAAATCCAGTTCCGGAAAATTCCAAAGCCACTGCCTCACAGATAGTGTTTTTATTCAGGTATGTTTCAGTGATAGATTACTGGAAATAATCTGGGAATTTGATTTTACATTTTTCAAGAGATAAATCTTGTCTAGCAATAGTAATAAAAATAAAAAAATATATATGTATGCGTGTGAGGACAGGGAGGAGACAGAGAAAAAGACAGAAAGAGAACACACATTTTATTGTTTTTTTATCTGCCCGATAAGCTCATAATATGAGCTAGAAAAGAGCATTTGATCCCATTTTCAGAGAGGAAAGACCTGGAACTCTCCAAAGTTACACAGGAACAGAATCAGAGCAACACGCCTCCTCCAGCGTCCCGGTTCTGTGTTCTTCCCTCTGGGTACATGATGAATGTTGCAGATCTTTTAAAAATGGTGATTAACTGGTGGCTCAGTTAATTACCTAAAATCATATCAATTTTGTTTACTGTGTTTACCTAAATGACTTCTAAGAAATGCTCTATCCAATGTATTGGTTGTAAAAGAGACATTTGTGCAGTCAATAATTTCAAAAATCTGGTTGAATCAGCTAATAACAGGCACAAGCTTTCTTTAATTCATTCCTAATAGAATTTTCACATTTGCCTGCCATCATCGCTGGAAGAGGAAATCTCTAAATATTTGCCCACAGTAAAATTTTGTGTATGTACTATTATAGAACACAAAGGCAAACAAAAAATATACAATGATGGCTTCACAAATTATTTGGGGGGTTAACTTCCCTGTGTTGCTTGTTGGGAGACCACAGGGCTCATGGATGGTGCTTCTGAGGTGGCTCCCAAGGACAAAGAATGTGTCTGGCATTGTCCTGGGAATAAAACAGATGCCCACACCAGGCTTAATGAATGAATTCCTTCGAAACTGCCTAGCACACCTTACATTTATAATTGCCTGATTTGGTCTAATGGTGGTGAGTATTAATTGAGCACTTACTATATTCATCTACTTTGCATGAGAGAATATATCTTATTTAATTTTCATAAGAACCCTGTAAAATGTAGTACTATTGGCCCTGATTTATAGATGAGGAAACTAAGGTTCAAGGGAGTTAAATAATTTGGTGAAGGATACACAGCCAGTGGCTGAATTAAGATTCAAACCAGATGGTGTGATTGCAGGTTTTGGAATCCTGCGCTCTTAACCATTAAACGCTACTGCTTTCCCCCCTGGAGTTTCATGTCCTCAGTGAGTGTTAGCTGTTACTATTATCGCTGTTGTTTGGTCTTTTTATTAGTAATTCAAGAGTAAGATAGCAAGGAGGGGATGTGGTGTTAACTGGAGAGCTTTCAGTCTGGCCTTGATGGGAAGTCGGAAGGGGCAGCTCTCCCCTCCTACTCTCTGAGCACGTTCCTGGGGCTGTCTTTGCCTGTTCTCTCCGGGTTCACGTCTATTCTCTACATTTCAGGAGAGGTTGGAAGGAGTTAAAGAGCGTAGGATAAAGAAAGCAAAGGAAAAAAGGGAAGGAGTAGATTTGACTGTTTCTTAGGTTGAAAATTGTAACATTTAAACATGGAAGTGTTTATTTTTTTAAGATAAACCCAATTTAAGTGCAATGTAAGGTCAGCGGAATGAGTTTTGAATGCCTACACTTGCTACATAAAAATTACAAGATAAACAGAGGCATTTCTTCAAATAGCTTTTTAAAGTGATACGAACCATCTATATCGTCTGTCCTCCAAACACCCTTCTTGTGTCTGAGGAGGTAAGCAAGAATTCATTAGTGAGTGCCTTGTATTAATTATATTTGAATGGTTTGTTTAGATTTCTTATTCTCTGACCTATTTGAGAAAATATTCAAATAGGCTTCCACAGATCCATATAACACTGTGGGGAAAAAGTGAAGTAACCAAGGGAGCTGGTGGGAAAGGGGAGAAACACCCGAGCTTGTTTACCATCCAGCCTGTAGCTTTGTTAGTCTGTAGCCTCTTGCGTCCTCTACGTGGACACAACCTGTAGGCCTCTGTTGTAGCACACAGCTCTTCACGTTAGTGCTGTGAATCATCACGGTTTAGTATGGTAGAGTATAAATGACATATTTTTACCTTTGCATTTATAATATACTGTTGACATTATTCATGATTTATTCGATACAAAGTCACCAGTTGTGATGTTATTTGGGGGAAGGGGTAAAACTCATTTTCCATTCTTCCAGTTTGCTAGTCCAGGGACTTTCTTAGAAAGCCATCACTGCCCTCCCTCCCCACCCTTTATTTTGGGAGAGGACTTTTCAAACTAACTAAGTTTGAAAGAATTAACTAGGCAGGCTTGTCTCCAACCCTCCTTCTCTCTTTTCTGTGCAATCTGACGGTTTGCAAACTGGGTGTTTTGTCCACCCAGGGGAGAGCTTGGCAGGGCATGTGTGCCCCTGCCGGGTAGAGGGAGGAAAACTGGAGGGAGTCAGTTCCACGTGTCTCCAGGGGGCGCTGCAGCCACGTTGTCCCAGTAGGCTTACTGATATTCAAGGGGATATTCTAATCTCCACCTACCAGATTCCTCTGCCCTCTTATCAGTTGTTTGTGAAAACACAGGTGGGAAAAGGTCATTTAATACCGTCACATCCCAACAGTACTTCTGTAGGAAGGCGGAATTCACTTTTTTCTGGCTTACCGTGTGGTTCTAAGCACTTGCAGGCTCTGAGTGGGGCTCCACTTCCTTCCTAGCTGTGCTCCTGGTGGGACAAGTCATCTAACCTCTTAGCCTAGTTTCTTTACCTGTAAAATGGGGCTCCAATAGCATTTACCTGAGACAGAGTAAAGATGAACTACACAGTGTCCTTTCTACAGCACCCGTATAATTTAGAAACTGTGGCTCACACAGCTTATTCCTGCACCAGCTCTAAGCACTGCCTGCATCCCAAACGTTTCTATGTCTGATTTATTTTTTCTTTTGAGATAGAGTCTCAGTCTGCAGCCCTGAGTAGAGTGCCATGGCATCATCATAGCTCACAGCACCTCAGTCTCTTGGGCTTGAGCAATCTTCCTGCCTCAGCCTCCTGTAGCTGGGACTACAGGCACCACCACAACACCTGGCTAGTTTTTCCATTTTTAGTAGAGATGGGGTCTCACTCTTGCTTGAACTCCTCAGCTCAAGCGATCCACCCACCTCAGCCTCCCAGACTGCTGGGATTACAGGCATGAGCCACTATGCCCACCCAGCCTTATATCTGATTTTTAAAACCAGCAACACAGGGAAACATCAGAAGTAAAAAATAAGTAAAGAAGGTTATTCCATAGAAATTAAAGTAAATTATTAATAATATTTCTTGGTATTGGCATAATATTATATAGACTAAAGAAACCCACTCATGATTCCCAAAGTGTGTCACAACAAAATCCACCAATTTGTCCGAGATATTCACAGTCAATGCTATGGCTGGTGCGATCTCGCCCTCTGGTGACGGGAGAAGGTGATGCTCCGATTTCACAATAGGGTATCGTGACAAGGCCATAATCCTGTATTGGAATGAAAAGAAACGTGCATCATTGTCAGTCCCACCATATCTTGCAGACAGGACGAGGCAAAGGCATTGAGAAGGTGTGTGTTCCCGTACAATCACCCAGCTGGGGCACTCAGAGCAATGACGTGGCAGAGACGTCTATGGCAGTCTGCTTGGGGGCTCACCCGGCCTCCAGCAGTCGGCATGCCTCACTGTGTCACAACGCCATCAAGTCTGTTTCAACAAGCGCCATGGAAACACGAAAACGGCAGCAATAATAATACACAAAATCCTTGTCACTTGCATTGTTACTCTGACAACACATGTGCATAAACAATTCTAATGTTAATCAACACATATGGGAACATACCGTCTCGCCAACAAGGACACAAAACAACAATTTACAAAATTAGAAAGTAAAAAACAAGTGTATGAAAAGGCCTTCTACCTCCTCTGCCAAAGCGTCTTCTACACGTGAAAAGGATGAGCAGAGGTCAGACCTCAACAGCATTTTTCGTTGTCCACCTGGTGGACATCGGAAGGTACGTGTCCAGCCCAGCCTGTCCCACTCAGCCCTGCAGGCTACACACATCTGGCTAATGGGCATCATGTGACCACACGGGGACATCTCGTACCTTGCACAAAATTCTGCCCTCTGGGTGGTTCCCATCCCTTCAATGGCATCATCTCCTATCGGTACTCAGGTCAAAAACCCAGCCCCCAGGCTTGCCTCTTCCCTTCCCTGCCTGTGACATCTACACCATCAGTAAGACTCGGCTGTGAAACAGTTGCTGAGCTTGCCCTCACCTGCCCGTCTCCACTGCGCTGACCGTGGCTGCTCCCTTAGCCCTTCCTGAGGCTGGTCCTGGCAGCTTCTCATTGTGACATCTTCAGAGAGACCTTCCCGACCACCCTGTCTACAGTAGCACCCCCAGGACCACTACCCACGCTGTCTTGCCTTCTCTCTCAAAAGCTTGTTTTCTATATAGTACTTACCACAATATCAAATTACCTTATGTATTTCTTAGTGTACATGTTAATTTTCTGTCTCATCACACTACAACATCAGGTCCACGAGCACAGGATCCAGGTTGAAAGTGCTTGGAGCTATAACCTCAGCTCCTATGCTCATTGGTTTATTTTTATTAAGCAAAGAACTGGAAATATCCAGCAAGAAGAAAACCATTTTCAAAATTATGGAATGTGCCTGTCTCCAGCACCTCCCTATCCCGTAAGAAGTATCACTGGGGCATATTCACAGGACAAATATATAACAATATCAACTTTCGGGACAATGTACAGCATTAATTCCCAAGGTATACTCACCCCCAAGTGTGATCCCTTGTGCTTGGACCAAAGTCTGTATAGAAACCCAGCTTCTCCCCCAGCCACATGGTTAAGTCATTGTTCCCTATATAGGGCTTAGAAGCATCGCTCTCCAAAATTGTTATGAAATCTGCACCTGTTCAGGAAAAATGCATTCAACGATTAATTAGAGCAAGGCAAAAACCAATCAGCAACACTTTATTCTCAACCCATGACCTTTATGCCTTATCTGATGACCTTTATGCCAAAACAAAGTGACTTTGTGAGTCAGTGAAGCCAAGTGGTTCAAATCTGAGCTATGAAGGAGTTCTCCCGTGTTTAGAATTTAATTTAAACATGAAACAACTCTAGGCAATAATGAAAAGGATATGAGAATAACTCTTATAAAATTTTAAATATTCTTAACATCATTCCCAAATTTTCAAATAACCTGAATGCTTTTCACAAAGACCCAATTTATGTTCAAACATAACTAAAGGACGCAGAGTGGCCTTCTGTTTCGGGGTGGACAGCTCCATGGCATCAGCACAGAAGTTTATTGGCTTTTTTAGATCTTGGCCAGATGTGGCTCAGAGGCCTATAATCAGGACAAAGGACTAAAGCCCAAAGAAACTTCTTAGCAGCATCACATTTATCTAGAGGCTTAGAAATTTCTCAGAAAGCAGGCCAGGTGGGCAGTGGCTCACGCTTGTAACCCAACACTCTGAAAGCCTGAGATGGGTAGATTATTTGAGCTCAGGAGTTCAAGACCAGCCTGGGCAAAAGTGAGACTCCATCTCTACTAAAAACAGAAAAATTAGCCGGGTGTTATGGCAGGCACCTGTACTCAGGAGACGGAGGCAGGAGGATCGCTTGAGTTCAAGAGACTGAGGTTGCTGTGAGCTGTGATGACAACACAGCACTCAACCCAGGGTGACAGAGTGAGACTCTGTCTCAAAAAAAAAAAAAAGAAAGAGGGACAGCACCTGTGGCTCAGTGAGTAGGGCCCCGGCCCCATATACTAAGGGTGGTGGGTTCAAACCCGACCCCAGCTAAACTGCAACAAAAAATAGCCAGGCACCGTGGTGGGCGCCGGTAGTCCCAGCTACTCAGGAGGCTAAGGCAAGAGAATCACCTAAGCCCAAGAGCTGGAGGTTACTGTGAGCTGTGATGCCACAGCACTCTACCAAAGGCAACAAAGTAAGATTCTGTCTCTAAAGAAAGAAAAGAAAAGAAAAAAATTCAGTTAGGGGCCTGTGCGGTGGCTCACGCCCATAAATCCTAGCACTATGATGATGCTATGGCATTCTAGCCTGGAACAACAGAGTTAGACTGTGGCAAAAAAAAAAAAAAAAAATTCTCAGGAAGCTTGCTTATCATTAAGAGTAGCCAGGGCAGTTGAGCCCTTGACTGATCTTGCTCCTTACTCCTGTAGTTAATCTAAGGATCAAACTCCCTCATGGTTCAAAGGATGCTTTATACAAAGATGAGCACCCCGAGGACATGGAAACAAATAAAATTGGCTCCCAGGCTCTTGAAAGCAATTTGGTTCACAAATGAACCTCACTCCGACTCAATTCCGCTTCTTATTCCCATAGTTTTAGTGGGTCCCCAAGTGACAGGTGCTACCAACGGGATCAAGAGTCCCCTGCAGTTTCCCTGACAAGGTGTAGTTCAGAATCGACTGGATTAATTGCTCAGACACAGACAGACGTGCTCCTCTCCCTCAGCGCCACCAAAGCAACGCCTTTTCTAAGAGGTCGGTTTATGGCCAGCAGGTCCTCTTTCTATGACTTACCATCCTGCTGAAAATAAAAACCACCAGAGTAGTATTCTCAAACCTTGAAACCATCCCAGTAAGAGACTTACCTGTTTGATTAAGCAGGTGAGCTGATCTCTCTAGACTAGACCATCCTTCATTGTCATACCCAAACCTGAAAGGCCAGATGGCGGCAGAGACCTCTTTGGCTGGAGCCTGAAGAATTGTTCAAATGGTCATTTAAAGTGACTGTGAGCAATGGCGGTTTCAGAGGCCTACTTTCCTCCACCTCTCTCTACCAAAATTCATATCTCGGCAAAGGAACTTCCTTAGACACTTGCCCACATCAAATCCACAAAAATAAGAAAATACTTGCCATGTTGTAGCTTCTTAATAAATCTTCTGTGAACTTCTAACTTAAGCTGGAAGTTAGGAGAAATGTCTGGAGAGCCAGTATTTATAACAAGCCTGGATTGACACAGCAAAACACGAAGGGAAACCACCTGCATGCCCCTCAGTAGGAAGATGCATAAACAACGGTGTTACAGACGCAGAATGGAACACCACACAGCCCTAACAAGGGAGGCAGGGCTACAGCCCCTCA